ACATGATTACTTTGACACACTCTTGGTATTTCCATCAGAAATATGACCTTAAGTGTCTTCTTTAGAACTGACATGACGGTTGAAAGAAAACTTCAATACTTTAAGAAATTTGTGTTAAGCAATATTCTGTACATAATTAATAACCTAGGTATTATAAATCAGGAGCCCATTTCTCTTAGTCATGTTCATAAGTATAAGCACATTTTTGTCTACTGTGTTCATATTCTCACATCTTATTATGCTTTTCCCCTCAGTTTTTCACATTGTTTGAGCATACTTCTGGATATTTCCTAAGGGATTTTAAGCAAGTTCTTTATGGAGATTCAGCATAAGGTCTAGGTTCCCTAGCCACTGTAAGTTCATATTTATTCGTTTCTCAATTTTAAGTGATCTTTAAACTTGTGAATAAAATTGTATTTATAGTTTTTAAAATGTGGAGCTGAGGATGCAGCTCATTTGTTAGAATGCTTACCTATCAGGCACAAAATCCTGGTTTCAACCCTAGCTCTACATGGACTAAGAATGTACATCTGCAATTCCATTACTTGGAGGTGTAGGCCAGAGGAGCAGAAGTTAAAGGTCATATTTAGCTATATAAAGACCAGTCTGGGCTACATGAGACCTTGTCTAAACAAACAAACAAAAACAAACCTAAAAAATTTTTACTTATATTTTGCAGTAAAGTAAAAACATGAGCATTTTAGTTCCTATATTTAACATTCTGGTAAAGTGTGATATAGTCGTGCATGGTAAACAGAATCCTTTAAGAGTTCCCATTGTTCCTTTTATACTTATATGCACAGCAATGAATCACCCCTCTCGGGAAGGGACCACATCTGTCAGTCACAATTCCTTGTCTGTCTGTACTCTCCCCATTGCGAATCTCCAATGCTTATCTACCTGTCAGATCCAAGGGAAACTCCATTTCCCCAAATTCCAAAAGGCAGAAGGGACAAATGGCTGCCTGTGCTGCCTACTAGCATACCTACCAAAGCACATGCTGGCTTCCAGGCTCCCTCAGTATCATGAGTACCTGTTACACATTTCAAAGTCCACGCTAGCCTCCTACCATAAACTCCCAGCTCACAGGCTTCCCTACCCTCAGGTACTCATCCTCCTTATAATACTGCTATTTTTGATATGCTCTCTCTCTGTCTCCCTCCTTTCCTCCTCCTCTCTTTCTTTCTATCTCCCTTCTTCCCTATCTCTAGCTCTCCCATACTCCCCAACTCTCTCTCTCTCTCTCTCTCTCTCTCTCTCTCTCTCTCCTCTTGCTTCTCTCCTGGTCAGGTCCAGTCTGCTGGCCATGTTCAGTCTACTGCTTTCTTTCTCTGCTCTGGACTCTTCCAGATGCCTCTGGATGTTCTCTCTTATATGTTCAATTAAAACCTTCCCCTTCACCATACCATGAGCAGCCATGTTGTGAGTTTATACACTACCTTTTGTATGTCTCTGAATCTTGTGAGGATGGGTCTCTTATTCTGCACCCCAGGAGTCAGTATCATAATTTTGAGATTGATCCAGATTGTTGTGTATGAACAGTCTGAGCCTTCTCTTTGCCAATGGAGCCACCTGTTTGATACACACTTCCTCTTCTGCCTTCCAAAGAGATTGGGGTTGTTTTTCCCCTTTACTCTTTACCTTCAAAACAAAAGCTGGTACACCAACACCCCTGCGAAACATCCCAGTCCATCTCTCTGCAATCTGAATTGACTTGGAAAAAATAGCCAGATGAAGTGTGGCTATGTGTACTCCAACTTTAGGAAATCGAGGACTAGTTTTAGGGTTCTTGTTAAAGACAAAGAATTCACTGCATGAGGCATTTTGGTTACTTTTCATGATCTCCTATTTAGGCTTATATTGTTGATTCATTCAGGCTTCATTCAATGACATTGCTCTACTTCCCTATTGCTGGGACAGATACTCTGCTAAGAACAACTTTCCCATCCAATGTGGTGAGGAAGATAGAGTAGCCATAGGCAAGAGAGGCTCAGTGTCAGGACCACCTTCTCTTCTCCCTCCCTCTCTCTCTCCCCCCTCTTCCCTCTCTCTCTCTCTCTCTCTCTCTCTCTCTCTCTCTCTCCTCTCTCTCTCTCTCTCTCTCTCTCTCTCTCTCTCTCTCCCTCCCTCCCTCCCTCCCTCCCTCCCTCCCTCCCTCCCCCTCCTTCTCTCTCTCCTCTTCTTCCTCTCCCTCCCTCCTTCCTCTTCTCCCCCTCCGTCCCTCCCTCCCTCCCTTCCTCCCTCCATGCATCAAGTATCATATTTTGGGTATATCTCAAATTGAATCTCAAGTCTTTTTAAATAGTTAATGACTTTCATTATTTATAATTCATTTTTACATGTCTTTTTCTATAAAAAACTCACATGGAGCAAAATTTACAAGCCTTTAATATATATCATGTTTCAGAAATTCACATTACCAGTGTAACTCAAGACCTTTTAGCATCTGCCCTATTACAGTACTTCACATGTGGGTGTGCCCTTTTCCCCTTGCCATGGGCTGATCTTCTTCATTATGGCTGCATGTGCCATTGAGTCTGTCTTATTCTGCTCTGCACTGTGGTTATATAGTCACGTTTCCCAGCAGGACAGCGGCCATTCTTTTCCGCTTCTGACTCCAATCTCGCCCATTAAGTGTTTATCCCTGCTGAGCATGCAGTCTTGATCGCTTAGAATCAATGTGCTGAGCTTGAGGGTATATATGCACAAGTCAAGAGCAACCAGTGAAGGGTGTTATCAGAGTCAATGGGAACTTACTCAGGGGAATTATCTTCATCCATCACTTCAGAATCTCCAAGAATTGACATCATGAAACTTAAAAAACCCCACACTATTCACATCTCTTTATCTTTCCGTTAGCTTTCTTTAAGGACTAAGATGTGAGGATGTGATTATTTTGGGACAAAGTCATCTCATGTGTGTAATTTTGAATGTTGACTGATCTTTAAATGATAAAAATCACCAAGCCTAAAAGATAAAAATGACTCTGAACAATTGTTACCCAGTGTTGGATCCAAGAGCAGGTCGGGACCTGGTGAGATGAGAATTGCACTTCACTCAGGCACCTTCACGCACAAGGCTAATAATGCCCTAGCCATGTGAGAAGCATGAGGCTGGAGGTGTCTCTTTCTTGGAGCACTGGCCTCCCTGGAGCTGGCTGAGGGATGGCATCCACTCAGAGGCCGATGCAGACTTATGAAGGATGACTTTTTTTTTTTTTAAGCTGGTGTATTCTAAATATCTTAAGGCTTCTTATTATTTGGAATAACGTCATCGCTACTGATCCATGTTTTCTATCATTTTTCCAGACTGATTTTGTTGGCTTTCCTAAGAAGCCTGTCATTGCTGCCCTGTTGAAAATTTCTACCCTATCCACTTTCTTTCGAGTAACTTTGCTGTGAACATACGTTAGCATATTATAAATGTAAGCTTAAAATTTATGCAGAGCTTATTTTTTGACCCCCTTGCGAGCACTGTTTCCGGGTTTAGTGTCATCTCCATTCCCATGGCATAGATGATGAAGCAGGCTGAGGGGCAGGAGCTGCAGCTGGGCAGAAACATGGCTCAGAGAGACTTCCATCTAAGACGTGGGGGGTCTTACAAGGGAGAGGAACGAGAGAGACATTTTGCTTAAAGCCCAGATTCCATGGCTGAGCACTGACCTGGATGTGAGGCTCAGCCAGTGCCCTTGTTTGCAGCCCAGTGCCTCTGTTTGTCACTTGTGTGGTGAGTCATTCCTGTAATGACAAGGATGTCATCAAATAACTAACTCTCTGACAGCCTGTTGGGAATGGAGAGGGCCTCTCTATCCTCTGTGCAGGGTCCCAGGGCACACTTTCATCTTTTATCTTGGCTTATAAATCTTCTGAACGCACCTCTCACTGTACTCCCATCCTGACCGTGTGATTCTGTCCACAAGACCACCCTACCCTAATGAGACACTCTCTTGGGATCCAGCTGTAGCCTGGATATACCTCTGGGATCCAGCTGTAGCCTGGATATAACTCTGGAATACCCTGCAGAGGGGTCAATGCCCAGCACCATATAGACATCACCTTTGGTAAGGGTATAAAGGCAGCGGGTCACATGAGAGATCATGTCATGTATGGGGCTGTTGGAGGTGTTCCCAAGTGAGGCTGGGGTGGCTGTGTGTTCTGCTTGACTCTGTGCTTGCTGAATTGTATATTCCCCTGAGTGTGTGTATCTACACAAGAATCAGGCAGATGTTGAAGAGAATATCTCAATAATGACTCCCCTCTAAGGTAGGATAGAAGAAGAAAGCATGTTCTTTCCCACAACCTCCCTGACTAAGGACGTTTTTGCTACTGCTCTGCTTAACATCTAGTTATACCAGATGGTCCTACCTCAGACCTCAAGGACCTGAGTGACAGAGAATTCGCAGAAGTCAAGATCAGTGGGGGAAAAGGGCTTTGGGTTCCTAGAGGAGGTTATAGTGAGAACAGAGGGCCTATGTATAGACGAGCTTGGCTGAAGAGTCCTGGGCCCTGGCAGTGAGTGGGACCCCTGGGGGATCGTGTGCTTGTTCTTGGGGAAGAGATGCACATGGTCCCTTGTGGAGAAAAGCCCGGGGTTAAGGCTCTGAGGTCTTTGGGCAGGGGTAGAGGATACCTACATGATTCCTGGGTTCCTGGAAGTTGGGTCTCTCACTCACTCATGGTAAATTCAATTAGGAAACAGCAGCAGCAGCAGCATCATCAACAACAACAGCAGCAGCAACACTGCTTGGGAGCAGGGCAAAAGAGATCCTAGACTCATCCAAAGCAGGAGGGACAGGATGGTTTGGCCAAAGCTGAGCTCAGTGGACTTCTGGCCTGAGTCTCCTTTCTGTACCTCCATATCCTGGATGTTGAATGCATGTTCAGGGCTTCCCCAGAAGCTGCTGTCAAAGGGACATTCTAACCCTGCAGCATCTCAGATTGACAACCAGGGAAGATTACAGAGGGAAGGCATCCATCCACAGAATGAGCGACCACACAGGGTGCTATTCAGGTTCATGTTTTATTGCCCACAAACCCAGTTTGAGAGTTCACTGTAGCCATCTACAGGACAAACGACTTCCAGGAAGGGTGGTAACTGAATTTGAAAATGCAAAAAA